ATACAACTTTAGAGATCTATATACATACATTCAACGTACATTACCGTAGAATTCTGTACGAACATATCGCTCCAGTATACACACCTGGGACATTTGCATAATAATGAACGACAGACTACCAACTATGTTGGTCACCATGGTGCCGCTATGCTTGCTCTTGCTTGTCTTTGCTGCAGGAAACTTACACTCAAATCCAGTTTCATTACATTCAGCACGTCGTACTCATCACCGGACTCATTACCTACACTGTCCCATCCGTTACTATAGCAACTCCTCTGCAACCTTCAATATCCACATCTTGTCTCATGGCGACATTCAACCACACCCAGGTCCCTCCAATCATGAAACACACAACAGACAAACTTTGAAACAAGTTTCTGGTATCACTTTTAATGCGAGAAGTCTTCGAAATAAGATGGAGGAAGTCGAATCTTTTCTACAGTCAACATCATACGATATAATAAACGTCACAGAAACATGGTTAACACAGCAAGACACCGTAAACGCAGGTTTCGACGGATACCAAATCTTTCGGCGAGATCGACCCAGCGGAAGGGGTGGGGGAGTTTTGGCTGCCATTATACCAGAGCTTTCTCCGAAGCGAAGGGCAGATTTGGAGAAGGATGACATAGAGATGTTATGTGTTGATATTGCGTCACGTTTTCATGTCAAGTGGCTTCTCTGTATTATATACCGACCGCCCAACGCCCCAGCCGATTTTTGGGATCACCTCCAGACGGCCGTTGATGATCTACAGGTTGCATCAGCAGACTACCATGGCATCATCCTTACGGGAGACTTCAATGTCAACTGGGCCCATCAGCAACTTCCAATCGTCCAGCATCTTGAGCGCATTACGTCATCAATGGATCTCTCTTAGATGGTCGATGACGTCACCCGGCGATCACCCGACAATCCTGGCACAGGGACAATAATAGATCTTCTATTTACTAATCGCCCGCATTTGGTTTTGGATGTGTGCACTCAAGCAAATCCAGTAACGAGCGACCACCATGCGATCTGTTTTAAGGTCAAGTTGAAAAAGATGTCTCCGCCAAAACAAATTTTGCGTGACTATCTACAATATAACAAGGCTGACACAGAACATTTCAATAACATACTGTATTATGCTCCTTGGGATTTATTTATGGATACTGATAATATTGATAATTCTTGGGATGGTTTTATGGATATTTTTGATGCAGCGGTTCGTGATTGTATTCCCCGCAAAAAAAGCCGCAATAACCGTTTAAGCCCCTGGATAACACTTGACATTAAGAAAATGATCAGTAAGAAAAATAGAATGTTTAAGATATCGAAACAGTTGAATACCAACGATAGTTGGCAGGCGTATAGGGAACTTCGTAACCAAGTGAAAGTATTGATAAACAAGTCGTATTATTCATATTTGAATGAATTGTTATCAGATAGTGACGATAATAGGAAAAGGTTTTTTGCATTTGTTCGTAGTAAGAGGAAAAACCGTGCTCCCCTTTCAATTGACAACAATGGATTACCCGAACATGAACCGAGCAAGATCGCACAGGTGTTTGCCAATTATTTCAGTACCATGTTCACTCCAAATAGTACTTGTAATGATATTCCCGAACCCAGGTCGGAACACAGTGCATTCGTACCATATTTACAGAATGTCAATATTTCTACATGTGATGTCTCTAAGGTGATACGAAACCTGCGTAATGATAAATTACCTGGTCCGGATAACATAACCCCAAACCTCTTGAAAATGTGTTCTGTTCCAATTTCACCCGTTTTATGCAAGTTATTTGATATTTCTTTGTCTCTTGGTCAATTGCCAATGTCTTGGAAACAGGCCAATATTTCCCCGATACATAAAGCTGGTGATAGCTCCTTACCTAGTAATTATAGACCGATTGCACTGACATCCATAGTGTGTAAAATCATTGAAAAAGTAATAACGAACGAAATCCAACACCATACAACAGAATATTGTTTACTCAACCCTAATCAACATGGCTTTGTTAAAGGTAAATCGTGCGTCACTCAATTGCTAAACGTTACAAACCGTTGGCTACGTATCTTAGATGTACCATCCCCTCCAAAGATTGATGCGATTTTTCTCGATTTCCAAAAGGCTTTCGATTTAATGCCTCATGATGTATTATTGCAAAAACTTAATTCAAGGTATTTTATTTCAGGATCATTATGGCAATGGATAAGGTCTTTTTTGTGTAATAGGGAGCAAAGAGTTATTCACAGAGGTGCACTATCATCATGGTTTCCTGTTTTATCAGGTGTGCCCCAGGGGAGTGTGTTGGGCCCCACCCTATTTAATTTATTCATTGATGACATTTTAACCCAAACCATATCGCCATGTGTACTTTTTGCAGATGATACATTAGTCTATAGACCCATCTCAAATGTTCAAGATATGCACATTCTCCAAAATGACCTGGACAAACTCAATGAATGGTGTATAATTAATAAAATGCGCATTAACGAAAAAAAGACGAAAGTAATGCGCATCACGTGTTCCAAACAGCCCGGTATCCCAAATTATACTCTTAACAATACCCTACTTCAATCAGTAACAGAGTTTAGATATCTCGGCATAATGCTGAACAATAAACTAACATGGCATAACCACGTAGAATATATCACCCGAAAAGTAAATCGTATGTTGGGCTTTGTTTTATCAGTCACCAGGTCACTGGCTCCTCACACCATCTTTTCTATTTTTAAGTCTCTTGTTATACCCATACTTGAATATGGACAACCAGTTTGGCATTTACACACAAAATTACTTTCGAATAAAATTGAAACGATACAACGTCGAGCTACTAGAGTTGCCCTTAGGCAAAGACGCCAACAAATGTCTTACGAGAATAGGCTCCAACTTCTGAATTGGCAATCCCTTGAATCCCGCCGAAAATATTGCTTGATCTCTTATGTTGTTAAGTCTTTGTTCCGTGTTATTGAATGCGGCACTGTCGGGCGCGCCATATTGGTGAATGCTCGTCGAACTGATGATGTGAGGTTCGTTCATCTCCGGGCGCGGACTCAACGGATGCACGGCTCTGCAATTAACGCATTTCCTCGTTACTGGGACGAACTCCCCGAGTCCTTGCGCACGGGGGTGGTCGAGACTTCCTTGTCGACCTGGCTTGCTGCGCTTGGGTGTCACCTCCGCCAGTGTGGGATTTAAATGAGTGAAAGGGTAAGAGGGGAGAGGAGGCTGGAGCATAATATGCGGTTGAGTGGTTTTATATTAAACTGAATACTAAATTCTACTGCTTCCGCCTCTTCTTGCTTCTTTTCCTCCTTAATATTTCCCCCGCTTATTATATTGTTAACACGCACGTGTTTATAATTGCAAAATAACGATGTTCTTTTGTTATGGAACTGTTCTTCCAGTATCATGGGTATAGGTCAGTATTATAGATATTTGTAACCTGTATCTTTAATGGGTTATACATATTTCATTGGAATTTTATCTTTTGGTATAGGTCAGTGTTATGAATATTTGTAACCTTGAATGGGATATATATATATTGGGATTGTGTGGTCATGTCGAATCCTGTTATGGTACAGGCCTAAATATACACTGTAATTTTGATTTCAAGAAAATGTATCACTGATAAATATGTACTTCTCTCCTCTCTCTTTGCTTTACTTTTCCCTCTCTCCTTGCTCTCTCTCTCTCTCTCTCTCTCTCTCTCCCCCTTTGTCTCTTTTAGTTTCCTTTCATTTTCTATAGTATCTTCTATTCCTTGCTGTCAGGGGAGATACGGTTATAATATGCTATTTAATATGCTATTTTATATTTTAATATGTTGCCCTATACAGCAACATCTCCTACACTTATTCAATGTGTCAAATGTTAATTAGCCTATACATTTGTTTGTAATTGATTAATATTATATAATGTATCTGAAATAATGATACCGCATCTTGCATTTAATTACATCACTTATAATTGTTTAATAGGCCCTAATTACTTTTCAACTTTGAAGGTAACCCAAGGCTAAACTTCTTATTTCTGTTTTATGTAAATCATCCATTGGAATTGGGACAGGAGGCTTTATGCCACAGTAATTTAGTTAACTTTTTCTGTCCCTGGCGTTCCAATGGTTGATAATTATGTCTTATTTTGTATTGTGTACACTGATATGTAATGTTTTCCTTTGCCGAATAAATAATAATAATAATAATAATAATAATAATGATGTTAATAATAATAATAATAATTTTGATTTATAAACCGCTTAATACGAAACATCTTCTCTTAGCGCTTTACAGGTATTATTACCCCGGTCATCGAATTCATTCACGCACATTGTGCACCATCTCCACTCTCTGGGGAATATATATATATATATATATATACCATAATAGTCACCGTGAGGGTATAATTTATGACAATTACTAACACAAAGGCTTTCGTCATCCTACCAGTTAACCATTTCTCTCCTGGGTATGAAGTGGCAAATGTACATCATGAGATGATGGAGCGGATCCTAATCAAATGATTGGTAGAGAGCGTACACGTGACCAGGCATTTATTTTGCTTAACACGTAATTTTACTAATGATCCGTCGTTAATAAATGCTAAGGACCGGTCATTAGTATAATCATGTTATAAACCATCATTTCATGAAACAAATAGTACATCATCTTATAAAACAAATAATACACATCAATGTCATCATGTTTTCTTCTACACTCGGTACCTTTGAAACAGTCCAAACACCCTCGGCTATAGCCTGGGATTTGTTTGACTGTTCCAAAGGTACCTTGTGTGGGTTGTTCTTACTAATATCCTCAGCTCTGTGTATTATTAATTAATGCCTTGCCAAAAGACAGTAATTCCATATTGTGGATCGAACCCACGACCTTTGAATTTCAAGTCAAGTGCTTAATCCACTCTACTACGACACCTCTTACTCCTATGATTCGAACTTTTTTTAAATACAGTTCCTGTTAAAGTAGCCAATCATCCTGAGAGTCAAACGGTGGAAATGGGCAAGAGCGTAGATCTCACATGCGGCTTCAACAATGCTGAATCTTACACGTGGTACAAAGATGGTCATCCTCTACCCAACAAGACAAATCTACACATTCTACACATACCACACGTTTCCACAAGTGATATTGGATATTACTTCTGCCGAGGCTTTGGAAATGAAGGATCTATAGACACGAAGATGGCATCTATCTACATTAAAGGTGAGGTTAAAGAATGTCGTGTTTTTGTCTTATCTGTCCATCAATCTGCATGTCCTATATTGCAGGACCGGAAACCTGTTTCTATTTATAAGTATATTGACCGGCAGGGTATAACAATATTTGGACCGCTTTGGGGTTATATTTTCCAAAGTGGTTATGTTCACGAGGAAAACTATAGATCCCTCGCGGTCTGAAAAACATATATTACATTCCCAATCCAGTTAATATCAGTTAGATAGCCTCGATTTTAATTGTTATACAACTAAGGGTTTTGTAACAGAAAAAACACAATGTAGTGTGCATATCTTTTCCGAAGACCTAATTGGTGTATCTTTCATGCGATGTGTATTGAAAGATGGTATATTTCTTCAAGGCAGTTCAACTTGAAAGAGTCGATTAAAAGAATTAAGAAACAATTATATAAGCAAAAGGTAACACAGATGTTCCTGAAACTACATTGATCTATACAATAGATGCCATGATGAACTTACATGTAATTTAACATTTAATAAAACTTTAATCTTAAGTATGTTGAATTCCTGATATAAATGTAAATTATTTGTATACGCCTTGAGCATCTAGAGAGGGATATGTTGCGCTTTATAAATATTGTTATTATTATCAATATACGAATATAATATTTGACGTCTCTTTTGATGCAGGTGTGACCAACATCCAACTTTCTAATTTGAAATTCGATCTCACTTCGAATGATGACCTCGGGATATCGCGTATCATCAGTAATTATGTAAGTACTGAGAAATATATTTATAGGAAAGATTGAAGACAAGGACAAAACATGCCCACAGATAAGACCACAATACATATAGGAAGACTTATATTGAAATGTGCCATAAAACAATCAGGTAATTTTGCTCTCAATTTCAACGGTGTCTACAGTGTATACCGGACGATTGCGATTTTAAATGCTTGAAAGATAAAAGATATTTTAATCAACGTTTCAAATTATTTTGTCTATAAAAGCCTACCGCCTTTTGAAACAGAATGTTGCTTTCTGCTTTAAAGTTAAAGCAGAAATACCACTATATCTCCCAAAATTACAACGCCTGTTTCCAATCTATAATGTACCTCTTATGTTTAAAGTCAAAAGAGAAATATAAAAAAATGTTTATTAAAACAAAATGGTATTACCTCATGAAACCTTATGATTTTTGTATAGGTTCTTGAAGGTCTTACGAATGATACCTCTTTCAAGGACCTGTCTCCATCGGTGGTATGCAACGATCTCACCCGGCAGGCAGTTGTGATTGCTCAACTGAATGTCTACATCGAGAATTCCATTCTGACTGCTGCATTTGATGAACTAAATCTTGTTCGTCAAGCTCTTGTTGATTTGGCTGAAAACTCGAGTGGTTTTCTCGATGTCCGCAGTGTAGAAATCGAGAACACGGGTAAGGATTAGTCAAGTCAATATTGACTTCTACTTACATAATAATTACGAAAAAAATAGATTGCCACAGAATCATTACAACGACTGTTAAAAATTACACATAATTGTTGTCTGCATTTACAATTGCCATAGTGGCTTGGAAAAGAACAATGGCATGCCTTTAAAAAAGTTGTTAGTGAATATATTTTTGCAGGAAGTTTAGAGTTTTCTCGATGTCAGCAGTGTAGAAATCGAGAACACGGGTTAGGATGAGTAAAGGGTCATCTTCGTTTATTTATAGTCAGTCCTCAATTCTACTCACAAACTATTAACGAAAACAAAATAGATTGGCATAGAATCATTTTAGAACGACCGTTAAAGATAACACATAATGGTTATCTGCATTTACGAGTCATTGATAAGTTGTATTAGCTCGGAAATGAGAAAAGGAATGATATTGTGAGTGAATGTAGTTGTGTAGCAAGTTTAGAGACTTTATAATATTGTTCGTAGAAAACAGTTTATGGATTTTAGAATGACTTTAATCCAGTTTTTAATAAAAATATATTATGAGAAAATGGTATACTTTAAGTGCACTGCTTGCTCCTTATATTTGTTGTATTCATGTTTCCCAGTGATCTGCAAGAATACGACATGGACGTCATCGCGTTTTGGACTAATCAGTTTCCTAGAGGGTGAGAACGGAGAGTCGGGGAACTCAACTGAAGTATGTCCATTCAACAGAGCAAACGGTAAATTAGGATATTTTTCATTGATGTTCAAACCGCCTCTATCTCTCCTCTCAGGAAATTTAAATGTAATTAGTTATTTTGAGTCAAATTGACTTAAATGAACAAACTGGCCACTCTAGAATATACATTCCACGAAATTTCACAGAAAGAATTTGCATTTATATATATATATATGAACTTAAGAGGATTTAAGTCTAAATAGCAATACATTTGTATTTTCTAATAAATATGATTTTGTCATCATTATTAATAGGATTTTATCATCATTATTAATAGGATTTTATCAAGACACTTCCCAAATTTTTTTTCATTAATGGTAAGGGGATAGTAAATGTTTGTGAATTTGTTTGACAGCTGACCAACCAATCGGTCGTGCCATATGCGTAGGTGATCTGATTTCACAGAGTACGTGGCGTCCCGATCCCATGGATAACTGTGGAACATTAAGAAATGTCAGTGATTTACTTAGCCAGCTTTCAAAGGTAATTTCAATATTGAGATATCTATTTCAACCATTTCAAGATTATTTTCTGTTTATTAAATTGTCACCACTGAGTCACGAGACCACTCATTATGAGTTATTCGGGATCGAAAGCAATCTAAGTTTATTAATTATTAGACACATCCTAGAACCGACATAACATTAATAACAGCCCCATGAACTAAACAGATGTGAAGCAGAGCATCCAGCGATAAGTTGTTACGCTCAGAAATGAGAACAGCTGGGTTTAATACCTTCTCTGATTGGAGGCAGAGTGTACGTAGGTTGTATTGTGAGCAATACATATTTATAGAATAAAGAGGGATCCTGCCATAAAAGTAGAAACCCCCGGTCCTGTAGACAGGAGACTGATGTAAAAAAAAAATGTACTGTATACAATTTATTGTGTTGGAATGACTCTATAGAACAACAATCACAAGCAGACTGATATTTGGATTTCGTTTGTTCCTAGGTTATCGTTTCAGATAAGAATGTTCATAAGCTCAGTGAAAATGTCAGTTTGGCGACAAATAACACCGATGATATCGCCTCTGATGACATTTCTTCGATTGCAAATATAATTTCAAATATCAGTGATGTTGCACAAGGGAGCTACAGTAAAAAGGTTTGTTTCTTAATTTATAATTAAGTCTCGTGAATGCAACACTTTCACAAAATATTTCCTCTAACTTGTCTCTTTGGTTTTTATTAAATTGTTGTGAAACGTGTCCAGTTAATGCGTACATATAAAGTTATTACGACTCAGTTTGTTTAAAATGTTTTTACTGGCTATTCCGGCTATTACTAAAATAAAGACCATTTGTAGGCCATTCATTGTGAATATTTGAAATTGCCTTTTGTTTGAGATCTTGTCAAATCAGACTATCCACATTTTTATCACCAATCACTCCTGTGTTCAAATTTTATTTCATGCTAATATATTATGCTACTGCTTTCAAAACATGAACAGTAAGTGAATGTGCTTACTTGATTTTGAATAACAGGTTACTGAATCCATTGTTGCCATAGTGAGTAACATCGCTGAGGTTGACACAGAAACACTTGAATCAGCATCAGCCTCTGTCAGAGATGTCGTTAAAGTATTTGAGAAGCAGATCGACAGGATTAATGTAGTGGAAGGCGGAAATCTTACCATTCAACAACCAAATATTGCTGTGCAGGTACGTAGCAATTTTGATATTCTATGTCGAATAAAACGCCGATTATATCAGTGTTCTCTCCCTTGGCAGGGCATTAACGACCAATAATTGTCATCAAAAAGTATGTAAGTAACTGTAAATATAGCTGACATCTACCAACACTCCTGAATAAGATATCTGTCAATAACACGTGCAAAGATGAACTTAATTTCCCGATTTTAATATTTCTTGGGTATTTAATTTCAAAGTGGGTTTGGCGCCTTGTAAATCCTGCATATATTCTTATTCATGGCAAAAGCAACGTTCATATTTGACTGTTTTCAAATTGTATTTTTTTCTGAACTTTTCAGGTCCAAAGTGTATCTACCGATGCCATCTCAAACGGTCTAGTCCTCTCGTTAACAGGAGACAGCAATTCTGATCTGACGGACTCCGACACCAGCATCCACACTTCAAATGATGAAGCTACACAACCGAATAATATTGCTGTTGTCAACATACCATCTGCCATTTCCTCTGCTTTATCGTCGATATCTGGAGGAAGTGCCAATACTAGCATCTTTGTTCGCGTGATCTTCACTGTCTTTTCCACACCAGCCCTTTTCATTTCTAAATCATTGAAGAACACGAGTGAAGGAACCGACCGATCTGCTAACACACCTGTGATATCACTGAGCATCGGGAACGAGACGATAGCAAATCTGACAGAACCCATCAATTTTACTTTTACCCCGATAAAGGTAGGCCCTAAGGCAGGCGCGGATCCAGGGGGGGGGGCCGAGCGGGCCTTGGCCCCCCCCCCCCCCCGCAAAAAAAAAAAAAAAAAAAAAAAAAAAAGAGAGAGAAGAAAGGAAAAGAAGGGAAAGGGAAAGAAGAGAGAAAGGGAAAGAAAAAAGTGGAAGAAAAAAGAAAAGGGGAAAGAAGGAGATCGGGGGGGGGCCGAAAGAGCCTTGCCTCCCAGGCTGTTGACCCCCCCCCCCCCCCCCCCAATCAAAACAATAAGAGAGAAGGAAGGAAAGGGAAAGAAAAAAGGAAAAGAGGAGATACTTGCGTACTGATGGGGGGGGGGGGCTTGGGGGAAATCAAATTCAAACGTGGTTTATTTCTAATTCCGCAACCGTGGATTACAAATAATGCTGAAATTACTTAATTTCCGAGATTTTTTCTCACTTTTTAGTAAATTATACGTTTGTATGTGTTTGTTGGAAAATGACAAATTCCTAAATTTACAGCCAGGCAAGAAATATGATTCTTGAGATTCCTACATGTCAGGGCCCGAGGTACGGCAGGAATCGGGAGCCTCGAGCTCCCTCCACCCCCCTACACTTTTTTTGAAAAAGTGTAATAAAGAAAAATAAAATAGAATGAGAGCAAGAAAGAGAGAATAGTTAACTGCCCGTGTTAAAAAATAATGAGGCATCAAAATATGCTCATCTGAACTGGATTAAATGCCTAAAACCCCTAAGCTTCCGGGGGCTCTGCCCCCATGGACTCCACCTATAGGGCCCTATGGGGGCCCATAGATGCTTATCTGAAGTTAATTTAATGCCTAAAACCCCTGATTTTTTTTTTGCCGGGGGGGGGCTCTGCCCCCTGTACCCCACGCCAATAGTGTCCTGCCAGTGTCACAAAAAAAATAAGGTATACAAAAAAAAAGCTCATCGGACCTTAGTTAAACGCCTAAAACCCCTGAGCTTCCGGGGCCGGCTCCGCCGTCTCGACCCCACCAGGAGCCCTAAGGCGGGCCCCTGAATGCTTATCTGACCGTAAGTTATTGCCTTAAACCCCTGAGCTTGCGGGGTCGGACAAGGTATCAAAATATGTTTATCGGACCGCAGGCACGTAGCCAGGCGGGGGCGTAGGAAGAAAAAGGAGCAGACAAAGGATATCTTTGAAATTCAGAATCAAGAACGGTACAGCAAATCGTCTTCTTTCTCTCTTAATCTTATGAAACGTCAAAGCCTCCGCGCTTTGCGCGCGGGAGGGGGGGGGGGAACCTGAATTCAAACGAGGATCCAGAGGCGAGAACTATAATACGAATCTTTAATGATTTAACGAAACATAAAAGCTTCCGCGCTTCGCGCGGGATAGAGGGGGAACTAAATTCCGACGTGGATTATTTTCGAGAACGGTACAACGATCGTCTTCTTTCTCTAATGATTTAATGAAAATTAAAAGCTTCCGCGGGAGGGGGGACCTGAATTCAGACAAGGAATAAGAGTCGAGAACGGTACAACGAATCGTCTTCTTTCTTTAATATTTTGATGAAACGTCAAAGCTTCCGCGCTTCGCGCAGGAGGGGGAGGGGGGGGGGGGGGGGACTGAATTTAGACAAGGATTAAGAGTCAAGAACGGTACAACGAATCGTCTTCTTTCTCTAATGATTTAAGGATTCGTAAAAGCTTCCACGCTTCGCGCGGAAGGGGGAAAACTAAATTCAGACGAGGATTAAGAATCGAGAACTGTACAACGAATCGTCTTGTTTCTTTAATATTTTGATGAAACGTCAAAGCTTCCGCGCTTCGCGCAGGAGGGGGAGGGGGGGACTGAATTTAGACAAGGATTAAGAGTCGAGAACGGTATAACGAATCGTCTTCTTTCTCTAATGATTTAAGGATTCGTAAAAGCTTCCACGCTTCGCGCGGAAGGGGAAAACTAAATTCAGACGAGGATTAAGAGTCGAGAACTGTACAACGCATCGTCTTGTTTCTCGAATGATTTAATGAAACGTAAAAGCTTCCGCGCTTCGCGCGGGAGGGGGACAATCTAAATTCAGACGAGGATTATTTTCGAAAACGGTACAACGAATCGTCTTCTTTCTCTAATGATTGAAATAAACTTAAAAGCTTTCGCGCTTCGCGCAGAGGGGGGGGGAACCTGAATTCAGACGAGGATTAAGAGTCGAAAACTCTACAACGAATCGTCTTCTTTCTTTAATTATTTTAATGAAACGTCAAAGCTTCCGCGCTTCGCGCGGGAGGGGAAAAATCTAAATTCAGACGAGGATTATTTTCAAAAACGGTACAACGAATCGTCTTCTTTCTTTAATATTTTATTGAAACGTCAAAGCTTCCGCGCTTCGTGCAGGAGGGGGAGGGGGGACTGAATTTAGACAAGGATTAAGAGTCGAGAACGGTACAACGAATCGTCTTCTTTCTCTAATGATTTAATGAATCGTAAAAGCTTCCACGCTTCGCGCGGAAGGAGGAAAACTGAATTCAGACGAGGATTAAGAGTCGAGAACTGTACAACGCCACGTCTTGTTTCTCGAATGATTTAATGAAACGTAAAAGCTTCCGCGCTTGGCGCGGGAGGGGGGACAATCTAAATTCAGACGAGGATTATTTTCGAAAACGGTACAACGAATCGTCTTCTTTCTCTAATGATTGAAATAAACTTAAAAGCTTTCGCGCTTCGCGCAGAGAGGGGGGAACCTGAATTCAGACGAGGATTAAGAGTCGAAAACTCTACAACGAACCGTCTTCTTTCTCTAATAGTTAAATAAATCGTAAAATTTTCCGCGCTTTGCGCGGGAGGTGAAAAACTTAATTCAGACGAGAATTTTTTTCGAGAACGGTACAACTAATCGTCTTCTTTCTCTAATAATTTAATAAAACGTCAAAGCTTCCGCGTTTCGCGGAAGAGGGAGGGGGAAACTCGCCCCTCCCTGCACCGACCCCCCCCGCATTATGTCACTGTTGGTCACCATTACGTACCAATATTTTCAAATTTGGGCCCCCCCCCCCTAAGAAATCCTGGATCCGCGCCTGCCCTAAGGAATGTCATTTTCGAAGTTTCTGCACAAATACATGAGCATGACTGTGCTTTCTCTCATCTTCAAGTATTATTTCCAGTGTTTTATTATTATTTCCGTATCATTCTAAAGTTTTAAAATGGGTAAGAATGTAGCCAATGAGAAGTGTCGAAATTGATCACGTTTGCGTACATTAATTACTTAAGTAAGTCCGTGAGAAAATATTTAGTTGCGGTGAGTAAACGGAAGGGGGGGGGGGGGGGTAATAGACCCTATGATCCAATTGTTCAGGAAATATTTTGCGGCGGCTCAGCCAGCCTAATTTGTGAGAAACTTTTTTTTTTTTGGGGGGGGGGGGGGAGTGGGCAGGCCCGTCGACCCCCTCCCTCGTGGATCCGCGCCTGCTCTTAAACATGTATTATTTGTATCGTATGCGATTCTCTTGTAGCTATATCAGACAAGGGCATGCGTTATGTGTTTTTTAACAATAGTTGAACTCCTATAAAAACAACTATAGTCATATGCACTATATTTTATATTTTACTTCCCTTACAAGACTAATCTAACGAATCCGTCGTGTTCATACTGGGATGTTGGCTTTGGTGAGTGGTCTCAAGAAGGGTGTCATCTTATTTCATCATCTGGAATTAGATCACCTGATGATGATAACTGCGATCCTCCTTCTGATGAGAAACAGGAGATCGTTTGTGGATGTAACCATCTCACCAACTTTGCCGTCCTTATGGTAAGATCTTTCTCATCTTTATTTGTCAGAGCACGTTGCCTGAGAATCCCGGGGGATTGCATGTTATATCTCCCCCATTGGAAATACTTTCATCTTTATTGTTGGAAGCTGCGAAGAATATTTCTTTCCAGGAAGAGACTTCCACATTTAACAAAAGATCCCCGGATTTTGTGGGAAAGGCCCGCTATTGTCCCTCTATACTAAAGCCCTTGTAAACACACAATGTAATCGCGGTCTATTTAAATTTCTATAGTTCTTCTTTAATTTTAGAGAACGTAGCGTCTGATTGAAGTGATTCCACTCTCGCTTATGATCTTCCTTGTTCTCTTCCTTTTCTTGTTTTTTTAATTTCAGGAGTGGATTTTTTGTTGGTGTGGGATTGGGCTTCTCACATGGGGTGTGTCCATCCAAGGCGACAAATTAATGACATCAATCTAAACTAACCTAGAACTCACACATATATGTTGGGTTTTCATATAGCTCTATGTTTTGGTTGAGTGCATATAATGAGCTGGATAATAACATTGGTGATAAATTTATTCTTTTTGTAGGATACTTCCAGAGAGGATGGGCCTTCTGAACAAGCATACGAAGTTCTAACGTACATAGGATGTTGCATTTCAATAGTAAGCCTACTTGTCACCCTTGCAACATATATATCAAATAGGTAAGAGTCTAGTCGAAAAATTTTTTTTTAAGGTTATTCATCTCATAAATATCTATACAATTATAGTAAAGCGCCTGGATCATGATTTTACTTCAGATTTGTTGTTTAAACACAGATGCGGAATCGTGTTGCGTCAAGAAATAAAACAAGACAAATGCTCCTATGTGCATCCGCCATTAATTCACTATAGGAAAAGGATGTAATTATTCATGACATATTACGATGAAATAAAAATAACATATAAACAATTGTCAACTATATAGATCTACTATAGCCCCAAACTGTAATTGGATTATCTTCCTAAATAGTGTCATCATGTTTAGATATTGCAATAGCAAAGCTAAAAATAATAATTTCAGAAATTTACCTCTATGACCATTGACCTTTGACCTACTTAGGCGAGGCGTCAAAAATATCGATACAAGCAGGCTGCCGCCTCACGTATTGGCGCATCGAGGCTGCAATTACGGCCGAAGCCTGGCTGGGGCAATTATTTTTCACTTATAAACCCAGCCGGCTTGCGCCAGGCTGGGTTTTGAGGCTCGGTTTCCATTCGAAAGGCGGCAGCCGGCGCATGCTTTTGAATGCCATTTCCTACCGCCAGCGGTAGCCGGCTGAGCTAATTTAAAAAATGCAGCCAGGACGCACAAGTGCACTTAGCTGCCGCTGGCTGGTATATTTATTTTTGACGCCTCGCCTTACCAAAAATCTTATCATAGTGTCTTCCAATGATGCTACATACTATTACAAAGCTTGAACCCTTTATCTCGAGTGGTTCTTGATAAATTATATCGTGATTGCAAGGCTGGTAGTAGTGTATCCAGAATTTCGGAAATTGACCTCCGTAAACTTCGCCTTTTTGACCTATTAACCCCAAATCTCTAGTGGTTCTTGAGATATCAAGATAACGAGGCCAATACCTGAAATTGCAAAAGTTGACCTCTGTGACCTTTGACCTAGTTACTCCAAAATCTAATCGGATTGTCTTCCAATGATGCTACAAACTATTACAAAGCTTGAACCCTATATCTCGGGTGGTTCTTGATAAATTATATCGTGATTGCAAGGCTGATAGTAGTGTATCTAGAATTTCGGAAATTGACCTATTAACCCCAAATCTGATCAGATTGTCTTCCTATATGGTAATACATATTGTCACTAAGTTTGAGCCTCATATCTCTAGTGGTTCTGAAGGTATCAAGATACCGAGGCCAATACCTGAAATTTCATAAGTTCACCTCTGTGACCTTTGACCTAGTTACTCCAAAATCTAATCGGATTGTCTTCCTATGGTGATACATATTATTATAAAGTTCATATCTCAGATAGTTTTGGAGAAATTGCAGTATTAAACGAAAAAGCGGTACGGACGAACTGACGGACAAATTCTGGATGCTGCATATTTTGCTAATGCCTTTAAAATCATTAATCTCTAGCACCAATTTGTTGTATTCCTAAATAATAATATATGCATTACATTCATAAATGTATTAATCAAATACAAATTAACTTTATATTTTTGTTAACTGAAAGAGTTCTGAGGGGAAAACAGACCAACCAGATCTTTATTTGCCTGTGCCTGACGTTACTCTGTCTCTACGTATCGTTCATTGTCATGATGTCCCTGGACAGCGCCAAACGTCAATGTCATGTAAAGGCAGGTCCATGCGGGTTCATTACGGCGCTCGTTCACTTCTTCGTTCTATCTTCGATCACGTGGATGGGTGTGGAGGGATACAATGCTTATCTCATCATCGTCAAGATCTTTGATACTTACATTCCACAATTCATGGTCAAAGCTGGTGCCGTTGCTTGGGGTACAACCATTTTAAAAATCGTTTCGAGTAGTATCGTAACTGATCATTACAAAATTATATGTGTTTTTCATGGATACAGAATATAATTTTAGATATTTATATATATATATATATATATATATATATAATGTAAAAATAAATGGTTCTGCGTCGGTGCATAAAATGAATAGGACACAAGGTAGATAAATAAAAACACCGGATAAGTGAATATTCCACTGACGTTTCGGGCATAGCCCTTTATCGAAGTGATTCAAGCATGAACAACAATATACAAAATCAAAAATATATAGGCGACGCTTGGTAGTCAAGATGCAAAGGCGCGTGAGAGTACGCGAGCTGACCCGGGCTGACGAGACGACTCTTAGTGTATTTGGGGCCAACCCATTCATCACGGCGTACCGGAGGGGGAAGAACATCAAAAATGAACTTGTCTGCTCAAGACTTCCCAGTCAGATACCCCACAGCATCACTAATCCTGGTACCACTCGGTGTAAGCGTCCTCGTTGCAAGACCTGCGCCCATGTCTCATCCCATGATGTGGTGGGCCCCAGAGAAACTTGGCATATCAGAGGAGAATTCACATGTACCACCACTAATGTCATTTACGGATTGACATGTACCCGCTGTTCCATGGTGTACATCGGGGAGACAAAGAGACGCCTAGCCGATAGAATCACGGAGCATCTGCGTTCTATACGCCTGAAGACAGCCGGACTACCTGTAGCTCACCACTTCAACATCGGAGATCATAATGCTGATGACCTTCAAGTATGTGTGCTGAAATCTTGCCGAGATGAGAAAGAAAGGAAGCTGATGGAGGAGAGGATAATCTTCAAACTTGGCACTCTCCACCCGGACGGGATGAACGCCTCTTTCAGATCTTTCCCTAACTCACACTGAACTTTGTTGAACTTTAATATCTTTATTACGTCATAATGCTTTTTCAATTGCTTATTTTTCTTTCTGTGCGCCTCTTCTTTTCCTTTTCTTTTGCTTTCCGCGTATCTCCCCTGGTGATACGCTCTTCTAACGCTCCCTATATTTCTAATTTTCTCCTATTTTCTCACGTCACAATGGTCCAACTTTTGAGCTTTGTGACGTTTCTCTATCTCTTTTTCTCTTCTTTCGCGTACTCTCACGCGCCTTTACATCTTGACTACCAAGCGTCGCCTATATATTTTTGATTTTGTATATTGTTGTTCATGCTTGAATCACTTCGATAAAGGGCTATGCCCGAAACGTCAGTGGAATATTCACTTCTCCGGTGTTTTTATTTATCTACCTTGTGTCCTATATATATATATATATATATATATGTATATATATATAAATATATATATATATATTTTGGATGAGGCAGACTAATGGAACTATGCAGACTATTTTGCTCTGCCTACAAGCATTGAGCACTGTACGGATGAATAGACCAAATCTAAGTATATATATTTATATAATTTAGAATGATTTATAGAATAAAATACATATGAAATGTATATCAACAACGATAATATTAAATTACCTGCATTTAAAAGAGTTGTATTCAATGATTGCAATATGCATGCATGATTTCTTCTTCGTGAAAGGGTTTCATTACCATCTTTTTAAAAATATGTGACATTTTGGGGTAGGCAGATGATTATCTGAAACGGGAGGGTGAATTTTGCCGACTGTATTGATGATTAATTTCACAGTATCATGGCTTTACAGCGTAAAAGTTTTAGATGCATGGTCACATCTGGGGCAGGCCATTTGTGATGTCTACACATGATAATCGTTCAAAACGGCTTTCCATTTAAATAAGATCTGTACATCTGTCGAGCGATCCACAAATTGATCGTTGTACTCTAGAAGAAGAAAAACACAAACGAGGTCTTTATACATCTTATCTGAATGCCTGGATGCCACATGACCCCCGCCCCCCCCCCCCCCCACTCAGTGTTATTTAGGGTACGCATATGCTCGTTCCCTCTTTTTGAAAGCACCCCTCTATCTGAGGACTGCCAACATTTCCGATCCCCCCTTTCGCGGGCTTTTCGCGGGCTTTTCCTGCCTTGGAGACCCTCCTAAATCAGGAAAAATGCTCAATGTACTCCCCTAAATTCGGAATAATTTCTCAGGAGTCCAAAAAGATGAGAGAAAAAAAAGAAAAAACACCCCCTTTTAAAAAAAATCTCCGGGTGAAAAGTCAAATACATCCCTTTTTTTACAATCCTCGGGCCGGACTTTGTCGCACGAAAAGTACCCCTTTACCGGACATTTTGGTAACAGGCATGCGGTCATTCCGACCTCTGAGTGGGGGGGGGGGGCGGGCATGACCCCCTTTGCTATGTTATCTAAGCGATTGTAATAACAATTACCATCTGCACCCTTTCCTTTCACTTTGCTTAAATCACACAATGGCGATTGCAAACAGGCATTTTATCTTAACCTCCTTTAACGGAAAGACCTTAAACTGTCCATTGACACGTGAAAATTTAATTAATCATAATTGTCTTCCCCCCTTTTTCTTTTTTTATTATTTAAGGTATTCCTGCAATGATTGTCATTATAACTGGAGCCATTGCCCAGGACAAATACGCGCACGAAGATCTGTGAGTAGTTTACAAACCTGTTAATATCATAATCTCCAAACAGAAATTTATTTTACAATGTTTTGTGGTATTATAACACGGCCAGTTGGGCCTTTCGTGACAAGGTTATAATTTAAAAAAAATAGAGTTTTATTAAGAAAATAGGAAGGAGCATAGTGATACGACAATTTCTTGTTATATTTATTTAAACAAAATTATTGCAGCACATTTTATTTTCATACAGCGTTCCATCTCCTTTTATAAATTTGGCTTCAAAAAGCAATCTCGGTCTTGTATGGTTCGCTTAATTAAAAACTGACATGACATTTATGTTACTTTTGAAACAAAAATACATGCCACAGGATTTGAAATATTAAATATGACTGCAGGGCCCTCAGGGAGAACAGTTTGAATACTGATGAGGCTCCCTGGGTAAACAAGACATATTATTATTATTATTATTATTATTATTATTATTATTATTTCAAATACCTGTGTAGAAATGGCTCAGTCGGTAAAGCGTCTGCCCGAAGTACCAAAATTCGAGTTCCAACCAGGGGCGGATGACTGAAGCTTGCGTTGTGTGCTAACGAGCCCCACCCCTATTTCATAGACGCACGCTTTGTTCAATTGGAGAACACTCTGTCTATTGGGTTGGATGTTAAATGGTGACCCCCTGTAGAGGAGAGGCACAAACTTTGCAAGTTTAGAACCAACCGCACTATTCGTATTTGAATGGGGGAAACCCCGCTGTAGTGGTCCCCCTTCACACTCTCGATTAGATGAGACGAGAGTTACAGTGATTCAGTTTGCTTTTTACCTGCCAGGCGCAGGTGATGCCAAATACCCAATAGTAATAAGAATGGGAGCCCGCCCGCCCCCCCCCCCCACTCAATGTTATTTAGGGTACGCATATGCTCGTTCCCTCTTTTTGAAAGCACCCCCTATCTGAGGACTGCCAATATTCCGAACCCCCCTTTCGCGGGCATTTCGCGGGCTTTTCCTGCCTTGGAGACCCCCCTAAATCAGGAAAAATGCTCAATGTACCCTCCTAAATTCAGAATAATTTCTCAGGAGTCCAAAAAGATGAGAGAGAAGAAAAAAAACACCCCCTTCTTAAAGAAATCTCCGGGTGAAAAGTCAAATACACCCCTTTATTAACAATTCTCTGGCCGGACTTTGTCGCACGAAAAGTACCCCTTTACCGGACATTTTGACAACACGCATGCGGTCATTCCGACCCCTGAGTGGGGGGGGGGGGCCGGGAATGGGGTGTAACAAAGATTAGTGTATTATTACAATATGACGCTGGGGGAACGTTTATCTTTCGTAGAATTAGTGCTAAATGATTTTCATTTTTTAATTTTTGATTTAATTTTACTGGACCTCTAGATGTTTTCTCCAATTGTGGGCTCAAATCGGGGGTCTCTTTATTCCCATGACAATCATCATCCTGTTCAATGTCGTCATCTTTGCCCTCGTCGTCCGTCAACTGATGAAGTTTTCTAATGTCGCTGGTCGGGTCGAGAGAGAGGCCAAGGTGGAACGTAGAGAGAGCATCGAACGGGTTCAAAATGCAATCTGTATCCTCCTTCTGCTTGGTCTTACATGGATCACTGGATACTTCCTGATGATGCGAGAATTCAGTCAGGTGCAGTAGGAAGAACAATATCCATAAGAGAAGCATAAATTAATCGCATTTTCTATTGTAAACATTGTAAAATTTTATAGTTTACTGTTACAGGAAAGTTTAGAAATATCATAAAAACGAATATACTTTTATATCATATATAAGGTGCTCGAGGTTGAGTGTTCGAACAGGGAACCGTTATAAAGACGTAATGATACTTATGTTTCAACCGCCACATTTTCGTAATGATTATCTTTATTCCATGTTATCCCAGGTGGTTGAGCCAATCTTCATTGTACTGAACTCATTTCAAGGACTGTTCATCTTCCTGCTCTACTGTGTTCGTAAACCAATGGTTCGTAAGCAGTGGGGACTGACCTGTCTTGCAGCAAGAATCAGGAGACAAGATGTTACCACATCGAGTAGCGGCACGCATAGCTCTAAGAATACGTCCTCGTCAGCAGCGACTGATGTTGTCCTTGTCAGCATGAGCAAGATACCGAAAGAGAAGAGCATCGAGACATTCGTGTAATGCTTTGAGTGGAAATACTTACCTTTGATGAAGACGATTTCCTGATTGTGTGATTATAGTTGTTAAGTAATTTGTGTTATGGGAAATGAAATACATCGCAATTGGAACGAAGATATATAAAAGTAAATTCTTCAAATATTTTCGCCATGTTCAAAGGGATGATCACATGGGTAACTTGCTTTAGTTACCATTTTGACTCAATTAGACTGGGCTATCAATCCAATTGTAAAATTCCCTGTAAATCTGAACTTTGGATAAAAAGATGACCAACATGTATATATTTCATGATTGAGCTTTTCAACAGTGAACAAATGATTTATTCAAAAGTGTTCCAGAGTGGTTTTTATTAGAGAGCATTTCCCCTTATATACGGATTTAAAGAAAAGATTTTTATGAAGGAGGAAATCGTTGTTTGACGTGCATTGTGCATTAAAAGAGAGGTCTCTATTTTGATGTTGTTACTTTAAACTCTATCCCTTTAGACCCTATAGAATTTTATAGTATTTAGTATTATATTCCACATACTAAGAATCTTGCTCTTCGATTGGTCAAAAGTAAATCACGTGATGAAAGATAGATCGCCCATTATTGGTGGGAGAAGCAAAAAGTTCGTTACATTGTGTAGATAGTACTACTATCTACACAGTGCAACGCACTTTCACTGAAGATAGAGGTACTTTCTACAAAGGGCAACGCACTTTCACTGAAGATTATCCAAAAGCGCACTAAAACAGGCGTAATTAAGCGCGCATTACCAATGAGCGCAATTAAAACAAACACATGCGCGCACCGTACCCTCAAGGGGTTGGGTCAAACTACTGTTTTACTTTTTTGGTGTGAATTTGGGCATGGTGTCTTTTATGTAGATGCATACACGTCCTTTTATTTTGTAGTTAAATTGTTTTAGATGTGGAATATAAAGCAAATAACCACCTTTTGGTTTCAGGTGATGGCAAACTATCACTTCCTCGTCGATCAGAATGTATACGGTATCTTTCCTCATTTTGCTTTCGTTCTTCATATCTAATCTGGTATTTTTTTTTTTAGATGTGTCCATAACAGTAAATTGATTAATTTAATGGGAAAGGCTAGGGCAAATAAATCGTTTTCATTCTTTTTTATAATATAATGTTTTTATAATTTATTATATGTATGTACACTATATACAGATGAAATATACAGATACAGTTACCCACGAGATAAGATATAAACAATGTACAGTCAAAGATGTGAAGAATAGACAAAGTAAAGAGTAGATTAAATCAGTAAGAGTTAAGTACAAAGTTTCCAACAAGTGATTTTAACTCTCTAAAGTTAAAGCTTGTTTATAGCTAAAGAATTCCATCTCAGTTTCTGTGAATTACTTTACTCTTAAAATCCACAACCGTTCTGCTTTTTCGCAAGTGATAATCATTAAATTTGTCCAGTATTGTATGTAACTAAAGTAATATTCTTCACTTCTTCAAGACAAAAGGTATATTATTTCAAGTTTTAAATTAATTGATAAAGGTCAGTTATCTCAAGAATGCGATTAATGAGATACTTTATATATAATGTATCAGCATGTGCTTTAAAGGAAATATTACAAATAATTCCCAAAGATTATTTCTGGAGCAGCATAATTTCATCAAGTCTCTTTTGTACTGCATTTCGCCATCCAAGAACTATATAATTCAAACTTGGTAAGATTATTAATGACTGCAATATCTCTTGACAGAATTCCAAACGTTACCAGTATGTGGATTCCATGATAAGTTATTGTAATTTTTTTATTGTAAGACCTCAATATACTTTAAACTTTTTCTATTTTCAGGACTATAAAGATTTGATTAAGCAGATACCGCAATGAGTACCTGAAAATCATGTAATTCTTCTTTTCAAATTAAAATTATTTTTATTGGCTTAATCAAATTCGTACTTTTTAAAGTTCAGTATTTAATGCATTCACAAGCTTAAAAGCAAAGAGAATTAGTGGAAGAACATCTGGAATTCTAAGGTGTCATTTTTTTATAAACTATTCATAATAGAGGACTAAGGATTTAGCCTTGTTGAACTCCACAGGTAACAGGTTAAGTGAAAGATTTTAATTTGTTTACGGTTACAAATGTACTCTAACAGTAAGACAACTCTTAAACCTATCTCATGAATTCTGTCTGATGCCAAGGTAAGGAAGTTTGTATAAGGGGAGCCTTCCAAAGTTGCGACTGTGCCGCGACGCGTCGGGGCGCAGAGCAGGATATGAGAACAAAGGAGGCGCCTTTATGCGCCCATTAGCGCCTTTTTGCGTCGGATGGTAGAGGATTTCTGTTGGTTGCCAGCTCATTAAAATCTGGCTATTGTTTGGAGTCTTATTGTTACGAAATTACCCCGCCGGGGCGCGCCCCGGTGAAGCACTTTACATTTGTGAATGGGAGCTTAAACTTTGAATAGCTTTCGCGCCCTTTCGCGCCCGGTCCGGCGCATTAGTTATTCATGTAGTGCCCGCTTGTGTGTCGCTCTCGTCTTGCGAGATTTGACATTGAAAAGCATTACTTTGGCTACTGATTTGTTTTAATATTATTTTACATACATGACATTGGTTACAATGTTTGTTCTGATTGTTTATTTTCCTCTCAAAATCGGAGTTCTGTAGGCGTTAACGTTGGCATGATTGTTCATTTTTCATCTCCTCCTGTTCTGTTCATGATTGTGTTCAATATACTGTATCAATTTTAATACAAATTGATTTGTTCACGAAAAAACAAATTTATTTTATACTTACCCCACTCTCTCTGACATTGTTTTCCTCGTGCATGTTTTGACACTTTAATTGTAATATAGCGATGTTATCGCATGTTTCGATTTTCTTGTTTTTTTTTAAACAATTTTTGTTGCATCTTGTAAACAGTTCTGTCGTATGATCATTATAAATCATATAATTATATCATCAGTCTGTTATTTCATAGATCCTTTGAATCTTCTTAAAATTAGAGAACGTATTTTTAAATCCGTGATGTTGAAAATGATACTTAATCCAGAATGTCGTAGTTTCTCCATGAATTGGATTTAAAAAGCGTTTTATCTGTATTACGATGTTTTTTAATGCAAATGATATCCGTATTGTCGGGAACATCATCAATATGTTTCGTTAGAAGGAACACGCTCATTTTCAGAATGTTCTTTCTTTGCAAAACACTAATGTTACGAACAAAATTAAATACACTGTGCCCGTATCAAAGAATTTTATCGAATATTTCTTTGCGACGAAGGGGGGGGGGTTACATCCGCGGCCAGTTTTAGATCTAGGTCATTGTTAAGAATAACTAAAATACGTATATATTGTGCTGAATAGGGGCCACGTGTTATCGAAAGAGCGTAGTGCGTTCTAGAACAAATACAAGCCATGGCAATTCGTTGAATTGCTTCTCGTAACAGAACTGTCTCACCGTCTAAATAAGGATCCATCCGGGGGATCCATCATGCACGTGTTGGTATCAAGTAGTAAACGGAATTAATAATGATTGCGTTGTTTTGGGACATTTTTTTCTGGGGGGGGGGGGGCAGGGAGCCCTTATTCTTCTTCTACTGGGTCATCAAGAAACACAAATAGTGTTGAAATTTTCTGCAATCCCTTTAGCGCCGAGGGTAGAAAAGCCTTTAGAAAAGTCAGCTGGACAATAGCAATTTAATGTTGGTCAAACAATCAGCGAGAAATACTGGGCAAACAGATATTAGCCCACGTCTTCAATATAACCAGGGAATCCCGATATAACTAAGCACATGCTCACAATATGAATATCAAATCTGGCTATTGTTTGGAGACTCATTGTTACTGTCTGGTAAAGGGGTACTTTTCACGCACCAAAGTCCGGCTCGTCTAGTACACACAAATCCGGCCCGTATTGACTTTACACACCGGACTTAAGGGACTGTTTTCAAAAGGAGGGAAAATGCATATGCGTACCCTACATAACACTCGTTCGGGGTGGGGGGGGGGGGGGGGGGGGGTGGGGGGGGGGGGGGGGGGGAGGGGTGCGCTTAAAGGCGAAGCGCTTTTTGTGAATTGTGAATTTGTGAATTTGAAAAGCTTTCGCGCCCATTCCTACGCATTAGTTATTCATGTAATCCCCGCGTGTGTGTCCGCTCTCGTCTTGAAAGATTTGACTCTAAAATTTTCACGTTGGCTACTGATATGTTTTATTATTATTTTACGTACAAGACATTGATTTAGATTGTTGTTCTGATTGTTATTTTCCTCCCAAACATCGAAGGTGTGTAGGCGTTGACGTTGTTAAGATTGTTCATTTCTGTTCATTAATGTGTTCAATACTTGTATTATATTAATTTCTTCACGAACAAAACAAAAACGATATGTATAATTGTATTCCTTCTGTATGTTTTGACACATTATTTGGTTCATATTACATTTATTTTGTTCTGTCATCCGATCAAAATAGGTCATATATCTATATCATCACTCTGTTCTTTCTCATGCAAGATCGATTTAAAGAATAGAAACGTAGATTCTCTAAATCTTCGCAAAATCAGCTATTGTATTTAAATACCCGTGATTTAAAAATGATACTTATAATCAAAGAGATTGAAAGATTCTGCTTGAAATAAGATTATAGGGCGTTTATAAATATGTCATACAAAACAAACAAACATCTGCAAATTAAAGATATTACAAAAATGATAGTCGTATTGTCGGGAGCCTGCATCATCAAAACGTTTCGGTAGATGGAACAATTCGAAATCGCCTATCTGTTCCAAACATGAAATTCGATCGAATATTTCTTCGCGAAGAAACTTTATTGGTGGTGTCATTTGTCTTAACAATTTGTTATCTTCAATGTTCGTGACGTTTTGACGTTGCATATTTGTTAGCTAGCGCTAGTAAAGTCTTTTGTTTTAACGTGCACTGTATATAGTTATAAGGCCTGAACACGTCATGTTCACATTGGGTGTTATATAGCATACGGATATTATAGTACATGTAACTTTTAAAAGCACTTTGTTTT